GGTGATGCAGATGTGCACTTGTGGTCCTTCACTGGACTTGCTCCAGTATGTCCATGTCTTTCTTGTGTTGGGGAGCCAGAAATGGACGTAACGCTCCAGATGAGTCTCACCAGGGCTGAATAGAGGGGAAAGGATCACCTCCCCTGCTATCCTAATGCGGCCCCAACTTAATGATACAGTTGTATAAATAGTATAAAAGCATGGTATAAAACATACAATGGTACAGTGTAGGGGCCAGAAGACTGTGAAGTGGGTAGGATTAGCAACCGCATAATCTGCTTTGATACTGAGAAACATGTAATTGTGTAACCATATCCCACACACTTTCAATTTGTTGGAGTAAGTTGGGTTTTGCAGGCAGTCCTCATGGATGAGGCTGAGAAGGACCCCACCCTCCTGGGGCAGAAGGTAAATGATGTTTGTATTCTACCTGGGGTATGTGCTTGCAGAAAGAGGCAATTTCTAAGAAAGCAAAGGCATGCCATTTTTAAGGTTAAATAGAACCAGGTAATTGCACATGAAGGACTGTGTTTCATTTGGGGAACAGTGAAATCAGCTGGTTTCCAATTTCTTTCACAGGTTATTTCTCTGTAGCTGTGGTACAAGCAAGAGCCAACCAATATCATCTGCTACCAGTAGAAAATCTCCATGCTAGTCCTTACCGTTGGCACGTGGTAAAGTTGCAACTGAGCCTATGAGAAGGAATTAACAGGAAAAATCTAATTCATGTTCAAAGGTAAACTTTGACCAATGATGAATAACAATCATGAAAGTAAAACATACGTTTTTGCTTATGTTGTGTGTCATTTAACTTCATCTGGTTTTCTTTGTTTTGCACCATTTCTGCAGCGGTGCAGGCAGGGTAGAGGTACAGAGATACCTTTAGCATAACTGTGTTGTGAATGCCAGCTGTCTTAATAGCTTGTCTAGCACCAACTACTCTTGAAGTGCCTGCTTTCATTTTTATTTGATATTTGTAGAGAACATAGCCTAGAAGGATGGATTTCACTTTTTCAGGAACAAAAAAGTAGGTACAAAATGCAGTAGGGCAGATGTATTTTTGTTAGCCATGGATTTGGCAAGAAAAACTCCCATGCTGTCACATTTCACTTGAGGCAAAACATGATCTGCTTCCTAACGGGTCCCTAGGTGATTGTGCCCCCAAGAGATGCCCCCCGCCGACTGTTTAAAAACACAGTAAAAACTGTACAGTAGCCACGGTATTGGTCATCAATAAATGAGCATACAACAAAGTAAAAATAATAAAACAAAATTTATAAATTACTGTAATATCAGCTCCTTATTTCTCCTCTTCCTTTTAAAATCAGCCTCCTAATTTCCTGTGAAGTAGGACTGTTTTTAGAGAGGTGCCACTAGCCTGGCTGCTGGGCCCAGCTGTGCCCCGTGTGGGTTGTTGCAGAGCCGGCCGGAACCAGCCGGGACTGGCGAGTCTTGCACGGAACAGCCCCGACCTCTCCTCACAGAGGCCACCCCTGCAGCCCCTGCTTCCAGGACCTGGGGCCACTCACACCCCGTGCAGTGACGTGTCGGTGTGGTGCTGGTTTTCTCACAGTAAGCTGCTGTCACTTTGCCTCGGGACAGGCAAATCCTTCCAGGAAGGAAACCTGACATCCTCCACTTGTGCGAAAAAATCTTGGTGCTTTTCTCTTATGGTTATGCTGGTATTACATAATAACTACTTTAGAAAGCCCTGGATAGATGGCTGGGTTGGGTGGTGTTTTGGGGGGGGGGGGACAGGGGGGGAATTAGATATAAAACCAGTAAAGACTTTTATGTACTCTGATTGTATTAACTAGTACTCTAATTGCATCTCTCAGAAGAACAACAGGGGTGAAATCCTGCCAGACCCTTCCTTTCTGCCTCTCCCGGCTGGGTCTCAGTCAGTCCATGTGTTTATATTTGTTGCAGGTGTTTCTGATACAGCTTGTGGAGGTGGCTTCTCCACTGACAATTCAATTATAGAAATACTACAATAGAGGAAGCTAGAAATATACCCGATACCCCAGAAACTCTGTACTCTTGGCTCCGCAACCCTAGAGATTGACCCTGAGTCTCTCTGAGTGCCTTCTACCATAGACTCCGGTTGAGGCCAAGGGCTCAACTGGCCCAAGGGCTACCGCACATACTGTCTCCTGTTTGATCTGTTCAAAGGCTTGTCAGCACTCAGGACCCCTGTTGAAATAGTTCTGCTTTCATGTCACTTGATACAGAAGACTCACAATGTGACTGTAAGCTGGAATATGCATTCTTCGGAAAACCACAGTGCCTAGGAAAGCTTGTGTTTCGTATTTGTTAACTGGCGGGAATATAGCTGTTATATTATTGATAACATCCATTGGGATATGATGTCCATCTTGCCATTTTATTCCCCGAAACTGGATCTCTTGTGCAGGTCCTTTGACCTTGGTTTGTTTTATGGCAAAACCAGCTTCCAGAAGGATTTGGATTATTCTTTTCCCTTTCTCAAATGCTTCTTTCACTGTGTTGCCCCATACGACGATGATGTCAGTGCACTGTGGGTGTTTGGGGGCTTTACCCTTTTCCTGTGCGATCTGTATCTATCCATGGAAATGGTAGTGCTGTGCTTCCATCCCTGGGGCAGTCAACTCCAGGTGTATTGGACTCCACTCCATGTGAAAGGAAACGGTGGCCTGCAGTCTGCTGCCAAAGGAATCAAGAAAAACACATAGGTAGTGTCAGTTGTAGCATACCACTTGAAGACTGCCTTTGACTGCAGTTCGTATCAGAGTTCTAGCATGGCCGGTACAGCAGCATGCAATGGTGGCATGACTGTTCAGGCTGCAGTAGTTCACTGTTGGCCTCTACCCACCATCAGACTTTCGTGCTGGCCATATGGGACTATTACAGGGTAAGTGGATCTTGGTGATCGGTCCTTGTCTCTCTTGTCAATTAATCAGCTCATGTATGGGAACCAGGCGTTCTCAGTTGGAGCGATATTGTTGACCATGCACCTTCATGGTAGCAATCAACACCTGCTGTTCTTCAGCACGCACCCAACAACAGAAGGATCCTCTGAGAGGCTGGACAAGGTAGACAGCACAAGGTAGACACCGGCCCACAGGTCTGGGGAGGAAGAGAGATTCTCTTTGAACTGCCAGAGCTGGCAGGCCAGTCTAGCCACAGTTGGCACCTTGATGTCTGTCCAGTCCATTATCGCCAGGGTGCTGCTATATGGTGTCGGTGTATTCCATACAAACTTCTGCATATGGACCACATGCACTGGATTTTGTCCAGATCTTTGGAGGACTGCTTGTTGTCCAGGTTCCTGTAAATCACCTCCACCACCACTAATTCCCTCAGATACTGGATACCTCCCTCAGTGGTGGTCCACTTGCCTTGGTAGCTTGCACATCTTCCTAGAGGGGATACCTTGCCTTCACGCTCAACAGGAACTGCCTCTAGAAGTTGTGGATTGTTGCCCCTTTTCCAGTCCCTTTGCCAAGTCCCTGGTCCCCTTAGCTAGGGATCCCAGCTGCTGGGCTTCCTTACCCTCTAATTTCTGACTATGGGTGTCAGTATCCTAATAGCAGAGCAGCCAGGTGATAATTTGCTTGCCTGGCTGACAGCTGTAATCTTTCCGCATAATGCGAGCATTCTGGTTATGCAAGGATGTCTGAGAAACTGAAGGGCCATTGCAACAAGGCAGGAAACATCTACCCTGGAGGAGAAGGAGGAGGTGCCGTTCTTAATTTCCCTACCAAGTTGCTCCTGGAGGAGGAGAGGAGAAAGGTGTAATTGTTAATTGACTCCATAAGATGATTCCCAGAGTATTGGGATGGCAGCAATACATGGGCCAAACACCAGATTTGACTCAAGGCTAGTGCTTTTGTCATAGCTCTCACAGGCAAAGAAAAACAAAGTGATAAACAACACAGCAGACAGTAAAAGCTGAAAGTGGCCATTAACAAATCTTGGAGTTTGATGTACAAAGCCCTGGAGTTTGCTGACCCCAGGCAGCAACTAAGCACCTACCAGCTGCTCACTCACTCTCCTCACCCCTCAGTGGGATGGGAGAGAGAATCGGAACAGCAAAAGCAAGGAAAAAACCTCATGGATCAAGATAAAGACTTTCATTAAAGTGAAGGAAAGAGGTGGGGGGAAAAAACAAGTGATGCAAAGACAATCACTCGCCACCTCTCACAAGCAGACTGATGCCCAGCCAATCTCTGAGCAATGGCTACTTTGGAAAGACTCTACTCCAGTTACTGCTGAGCACGATGTTATATGGCCTGGAATATCCCTTTGGTCAGCTGGGGTCAGCTGTCGTGGCTGTCCCCCCCTCCCAGCCTCTTGCCCACCCCCAACCTACTCACTGGGGGGGCAGAGTAGGAACTAGAGAAGGCCTTTAGCCTGTGTAAGCGCTGCTTAGCAATGACTAAAATATTGGTATGTTATCAACACTGGTTTAGGCACAATTCTAGAAAATGAATGAAGAAAATTAACTCCATCCCAGCCAGGCCCAGTACAGTGGAGAAACTAAAAATTACAAAAGTAGTATTGACAAATACTAAGGCAAATAAAAGAACAAATACTAAGCTCTGTTGTGTATATGTTAGTATTAGTAGGTAAGGCAAAAGAGCTCTAGATTAGCCAAACATTTAAATACTTGCTGAACTTCAGTGTGTGAGCAGTGACAATGCTATGATAATTGTGCTTTAAATGAACAGTGCCTGTGTTTAGCTGGATTGGAGTCTTCAAGTTGCAGAATTATTTACAAGCTGCATGTAAGAAAAATCAATAAAAATATGAAATGTTAAGAAAGAGAAAGCCTTCCAGTGTGAGTGATCAACAGCTTCTAGGCTAAGGCAGAAAGGGATGACAAATGCTATTTATTTTAATGTGCTATATCTTGAATGTTTTAGCATTTTTAATAGTCTTGTTTGGGGAAGAGAGGAAAAATGTGGTTTACATCACTTTGGAGTATATTCTAAAATCCCATTTCTTTTTCTCCTTGGCAGATGGATGCCTTCTAGCCAACCAGCAAGTCCTACTGCTGCTGCGTGTCTGGCAGCATCTCTGAATGATCACATGACTCTTGATATGGATGCAGTCCTGTCAGACTTTGTTCGGTCCACAGGGGCAGAGCCAGGTCTGGCAAGAGACTTACTGGAAGGTAAGCTTTCAGGACACAAGTGTTTCCTATGTTCACTGCTTGCTTAAAGCAAGAACCAGTCATAAAAAGAGAACTCTGGTCTATCGAAACAGGTATTTCTTAATATTTTGACTAGTAAGTCAACTCTTGTAATAAGATGACCATCGATGATACTAAGGTTGGTGTTTTCAGCAAAAGCCTTAAAAAGTTCTTAGTGTTAGATTGCTGTATTTTAGGTTATTAACAGTCATGCCTTTAAAAGCATATGTGCCAGGGAGAGAGGGGAGGGAGCTTTAGCTGAATTTTGTCATTTTCAGCTGTCTGAAAGTAGTTGTAAATGTTTTGGCTCACTGTGCAAAGCATCTAAGTTTAGTCTGAAATGGACTTACTGTAAAGTGATAGAGAAACCAGAGATATTTTGGGGACCCAGTGATTAATATGCATACCTGAACTTCATAGTATGGGGGTCAAATGGCTAGGTTGAAAAACATCTAAGAAACCATATCAGAAAAATAACTGGGTCTTTTTATTTATTTTATTGTAGTTGTTTTAAGTTTATAAGCTTAGAAGTGGAAAGACACCTTTGATATTTGAAGGCATTTTGTAATAGTTGGTTTTGTTCATTTCTTTTGATGTGGGCTAACAATTGTGAAGATGGGAAGTTAGAAATGAGTAGGTGATAATCTATGTAAGTTGCAAGGCGGTTCTGTTGCAAGGCATGTATCTGTTCTTGATACATGCACACTGGACTTTTTCTCTGAAAGTTTGTTTTGGTTTTTTTTGTAATCTTAATATGCTTTAAGAAATTGTGTGTTAATCAAAGTAACTACTGAACAGCGACAGCAAACTTAAAAGTACACATCAGGGTATATATCTCCTTTTTGCAAGAGCAATCTCACTTTATCGTATGTATGCTGAAAGTTTTAAATTTTGCTAGAAGTTCTTTTTTTACTCTGGGTTTTTCAGGAATAAGGAATGATCTATTATTAACACAGGTGCACACAATTTTGTAGCGTTTCCCAAGTCATCTGTGTTACATGTAATAAAACCTTAGAATACCTAGCTATGAATATCATTGGCTCGCTATATTTGAGAGACCTCTGTTTTGTCTGACTGATTTGATCAACCTGTCATTCTAGGCTAGAGTCTGTCTTAGTCTGTTGGTCTTTTTGAAAAAGAACATGAGAAGGTTTTTCTTAGCAATATCAGGACAGATTGTCAGTTACTGTGCTGATAAAGCATTGCCGAAATTTGAAAAAGTGTACCTATGTATCAGAGGCGGTTCAAGAGGTTACTTATTTTGTTTTCCTTGCTATACTTTTTTGTTGCTATAAAGGATAATGCTTCCAAATAAATATAGAATAGTATTTTTCTGTGTTGTATTTCTTATTTCCGTAAATGAATAAATTCACACCATACATATTAATAATGAAGTAAGCAATAAGCAATTTAATTATTCTGAACAGCCTAATAGACATATGCATCTAGCCCAAATTATTTCCTCCTACACAGGAATTTATCAAAGTAGAAGGGATCGTTGCTAGTTCTGGACAAGATGTGCTCACAGGAACATTTCAGCACATGTAGTTGCGGCTGCATTTGGTGTAACAGCTTCTAACACTGGCCATATCTTGTGCTGGGGGACAGTAATTGATCCAGTGGTTTCTCATTTGTTTAAAAAAGACACAGAAGGGACTGCCACCCTCACACAGTTATGACCATCTTTCATAGTTGTCACAGTGTGTAGATGCTCTGGGCTCTGTGAGCAGCACTGAAACCCATGAAGTAACTTCTTAAAGATAAACAGTATTCAGAAGAGCAATCCCCCCACACCATGGTGCACAAGGCTAAGGCAAATGTATTGCACCTGGTCTTGGAATGATGATGTCTGTATAATACTTTCAATTCAAAATTTGAAAACAGGTGTGCACAAATATTTTTGAGAAATTTCAAGATTTGGTTGTAGTTTGTAGCCCCAAAATGACTGTCATAGAGAACTTTGAGCTAAAAAACTTGCTTGTATAGACCCTCATTTCCATGTAATCACAAGTTTTGGTCAGTTCTACGGTCCCATAGCCCTCCTCTCTTTGTGATCTGCTCACAGATTCTATTTTTATAACTTGCTCAGACTGAACGTTCATATCATGCTTCTATGGAGTGTACACATCTTTTTCAGAGCCATTTCTAATACTGTTTCCTTTGTTCATCTTTTGGGGGAGATTTCTTGAATTTCACTATCCTGTAGACAATTAAGGATACCAGTTTCTGCTTCCTTGTCCAATTATTTTAATATATTAATTGTTTTGCTTTGATTGTCCTGTGGATTCATCAGTACAGTATTGTGCACAATATGTGGTGTTCTCCCTGGCAGCAAATGGGTGAGTTAAATACACACTGACTCTTGTACAAATAGCTAAAAAATCTATACATTGCATATAGATTGCATATAGATTTTCTGAATTACCAGAAGCTGTCCTAAACGTTGGCTCTCTTGATGTTTCTATACTCTGCCTGTCCTGCTGGTAAAATCCCTGCATTTTTTTTTCTGTTGAACTTTGTATTGAGCACAGCTACTTGTCTCACTAAAACATTCCGCTTGTTGTGCTTGACGCATATCTTCCAGAAAGTGTCCCTTCTTGATTTGAAATGGAGATATAAAGAGATATAAAAAAACCTAAAATATATATATATACACACATATATTGGTTCTAATTTATTTGTCTGGTTCTTTTTGCCAGCTATTAGTATCCTAAAATAAATAATACTATAAACCAATTGCTTTTCTATCTAATTTTGATAAGCTAAACATCTTGAGCTCCAAGTCTCACTTTCTGTCTCTATATTTTCTCTATCATTCAAAAGAATGTATACAGAAATGTTTTGGCTATTTTGGTATATATTTTTCTAGTGCAAAGATTGCCTTTTTGCAATTACATTGCATATGCTGCTGTTTGTATCTTTGGCCAAGTTTGCTTTAGTATTGCAGAGGGAGCTTGTGGTCAAGTCTATGCTCAGTTTGATGTTTCAAAGTTACCAATTCTAGAATTCTATGCAGTTGTTTAACTGTTAAGGAGTTCAGATTTCACAGACTTAAAATCTTAAAGGTATTATTTCAATGGTATGAGAACTTTGTCATGCACATCTGAAAATGGATGTGAATGCAGACTTTTAAAGCTGCATCAAAATTACAAATTGGTTTGTTTTTCTTAGTTCTGCCTAAGAAATTAATTTTATTTTCATGACATTGCTATGTCTACGTTTAGAAAAGCCTTGTATCTGTCTAGTCAGCCATTCATTGGTGGATAAAATTGCATTAGAAATGGCTTAGTTTATGTTTGTCCAATGCACAATTTGTGTTTCATTCCTACTTTTCAAATACTACTTATTGAGTCTGAAAGGCTACTTGTAGATAACTTGCTATACGTGACACAACTATGGGAACTTACATGTACAGGCTTGGAGAAAGTACAAGGAAAGGTATGTGGAGGCAGAAGGGGCTTAGCACTTAGCAGCACATAGACCTACACTTTAGTAAGTCACCTGTCTTACTTTTTGAGTTTTCTTGAGGTTTTCTTGAGTTTTCTTGAGCATTATAAAGAACCTTCCTTCCGTTACATTTTATTCTGATAATTTGGTAGATTTGTAAACAGCCCATTTCTGCTGTTAAAGAAAACTTTTGAATCTTGAGATTACAATCTGATACTTCATAGAGCTATGTGTTATGATTGATTCAGTGATTTTTTTTCCTTAAACTGTATATAAATATTTCAAAACTAAGGCCTTTCCCCAACTGTTCAATGTAACAGTGGCGATATTTATGACTGGATGTATTTTGTAAATGTACACCATTTGTGTTAAATAATAATTAAGCATAACAAAGAATGCTAGATTTATAGTCATGCAGAATCATATAACTATCGTAAAGGAGAGATTATGCATTGTTTTCAAGCAGAGGTTTGGATAGCACAAAATCGTTTACCTTATTACTCATATGCATCTATTAAAGATATACAATCATATGAGTAATCAAAGTTTATTCCACTCTCTGATGTGCTATGCATGCTTAGTAACTCAGTTTAATGAGAGCTTAGAATGACTTTATAGCTTTAAAGTGTGAATACTTGAATACTCTTCTCTCCCCTTTCTGCCCCCAGCTTTTTTTTTTTTTTCTTCTTGCTTTTGAACATCCCCATAACTGCATACCCACTTCTAGGATGAGAACCCAAGGTAGCTGAGATCATGCGAAAAATCCTTTCATGGGGATTATGTACAGCTAACCCAAACAGCATCTTATCTCTCTCAATTCAAGAGGCTCTCATCTACCCTTCTCTGTACTAGTATAGATTTTTTCTTGTGCCCACAGTGTGCCTGCATGTCTGAGCCATAGCTATTTCTGGACTGAATTCTCCAGATGATCTGTCTCCACATCAGAATCTGTCTTCCATCAGAAGCTGCAGTACTCTTTGTCCGCTCTGTTAGTTGCTGGCAGCGTCTTGTGCATAGAACACTTCATGCTTGGTTTTGGTTGCTTGTTCTTCGTGGTACTTTTCTGTACTTTTTATACTGAAGGGCTTTTTCTTCCTGTATGCAGCACTCCTTGCTTTCTTTGTCTGAATGCTGTCCTGGGCCACCCAGACTACTGCCATCATTCTTTTCAGTTGAAAGAACAGCTTTCTACCAGCCCTGCCAAAATTCTTAGCTACTATTACAGCTGAATTATTAAAATGGGAACCACAGTTCTTTCAGCTTGGTTATGACTACAAGATTTTGCAATATTGTTTAGGACTCCAGGGAGGACACTTGGTTGATAGCTATTTACACCTTCGTCTCTAATCTTGCAGAGACTTTAAAGTAAACAAAGAGCCTGCACATCTACAGATAAGTGTCCTCAAATTCATGGCATCTCCAAGACATTATAAATCCTGATGTTTCTATGTTAATAATTACGAGTCAACCAAAGAATGATGAGTATGTCCCTATGCAAATAAAAGGACACCAAAAGCTATTTGCTGACTGTACCA